TACGGTAAAAGGACGTGTTAATGAGCTCTGAAGGTGTGAAATGTGCCTGTCTGCACTGTTATATAATTTTTAACTGTTTCCCATTGTCGATAAATCTGGGGGCTCCCAAACTCTTCCAAGACTATAGCTGTACTTGCTTTTAGAGAAAAAAATTTTAAAGGACAAGTAATGGACCGTGTGTGTGCGTGCGTTTGTGCAGCCTAGATAACCATTGTATGGTAACACATGAGAATGATCACAATTTATTTAAATATATAATCTAAGCCTAAACAACACAGCTTTAGCTAGCCACTGACATCTACCACTGTAGCTTAAACTGAGATAAATTGTCATAAGACCTCGAAACTCAACACCTACAGAAGTTGTGGCCCAAGTTAATTCCAGATTCCACATGACTGAATTCAGCAACTGGGTTGAACGTTGAACATTAAACCTGATGTACTTATTATGTTACTTTGAGAAAAACTTGTCAGTCCAATAAATTCTGCCAAATGTCACCTATGTTGCATCTAACATTAAGGGGTTACTCTAAACACCAGTACCACTTCACTGATTTGAAATGGCCATGGTGCTAGGGGTCTGGATGTGCAGTGTTTCAGTATGATATAGAGATCAGGGTTGGCTTATGTTAAATCTGTGCATATTTGTCTTCTGTCATCAGCATAGCATAGAAAGGCTGATGACAGATGTGCCTCTGTTTTAACCCTGCAATTGAACCCATTGGTGTTCATTGGAAGAGCAATGTTTTCTTTGCAGGGTTAACCTTCCTATAGTGGCTGTCATACTGACAGCCACTAGAGGTGCTTTCATGAAACAGCAGAGTAAACCTAAATCAATCTTGATAATTGTTACGGCACCCCCAGGCATAAAAGGGGTTAACAGCTGTTTAGTAGATCTTCCCCTTCCAGACAACAGGCAGCTACTGTAGACACCAATCCACCGAACCGGAGAAGCATATGAATGCTCTCAAGCATATGAATGCTGTAAACAGCCGAATAAGAACGAGACAAGTCTCCGTTTTGAGGGTCAAGCAGGAACAGTCAGAGCTGTGGGTTTATTGTTCTTATATACACATTAGTACCACCCACAGGGTTTTGGAAAACAACCAATAAACACATACAATACACTCAGACACTCCCACACAAAATCCTCCCTTCTGCCTGTGATATAATTACCTTACACAATGGGTAATGTAATTATCACCGGCATAGAAATACAGTTTTTCCACATTATTCATAACTTGAAAAGTATGCATCACATTCACATAACACTTACTTTTCAGAATCAGCATACTCCAAATACAAACCTATGTCAAAATCATCCAAATTGGTCCATGGGTTCAAAAGATAGATCAAAGTCCTTTGTGACCAAATGAAGCATGGCTTTTCTGCCCAAAACAAGTTCCACAGAGTCTTCTAATAATAATTGGGAAGTAATCCAATTATCTCCAAGGACAGAGGCAAAACTCCATTGAACACATGGCAACAAAAGACAATAAAAAGGCAGCAAAAGACAATAAAACACATAAAACACATAAAAATATATAACTGTGCAGCCATTTCACAAAACAGGTACATTCAACATATCCCCAGATAGCTCAGATCTGAGCGCACATTATTACTGAATGGCGCTCAGAGCACACACACACAGTTCAATTGCCATGGAGCTAAAGTCTTTCCCATAGTCTTTCATTATACGAATGGGCTCCATGGCATAGCTATCTGGGGTATCACCGCTCAAACAGGGCCAGCACCGAATGACCTGGCTTTCGTGTCTTCGCTAGGGAAAATCAAGCGTTTCAACATGGGGCCATAGTCTAAAGGCAGCAGGCGGGCAAACAGGCTCCTCCTATGCACAGTGGCGATATTGGTCTCGTCACAATAATCTTAACTAAATAAGCCAGGCTGTGTGCTGGAGACCAATGGTGCAAGTGCGAAAAGGTATGCTACATCTTTTGACACTAACTTGGTATTATTAGCTATAGGTTTATTGAATACAATACAATAGCTATGGAAATATGATTAGAGGCAAGAATACAGGATGTGAACTACAAAAGTTATCAGATGACTGGTTTGAAAAGCCTGATCCTGCCAAAGTTGAAATGTTTGCCTTCTTTAGAATCATAACCAC